GACCAAAAGCATCAAATCCAGGGCAGGCAAGGAAACTTTCTGGGGTCGGCAGGGCGTGGGGACTTAGTTTCATTTCCCATGTCCTCTTCCTCGGCCTCCCACCCACGACCCTTGGTTAAGTAAGGGTACATAACCATATTGTCTACTAAGTCTCTTCAAAGTGTGTTTTTCTTCACTTTTCCAGATCTGATGGTGCACAATATTATGAAGGAAGTAGAGACTCAGGCCCTAGCTTTGTCCACTAACAGGACTGGCAGTGAGATGCTGCAGGAACTGTTGGGATTCAGTCCCTTGAAACCGCTTTGTCGCGTATGGGCTGCTCTGCGCTCCAACTTGCGCACTGTGGCCTGTCACCGATGCGGGGTCCATGTATTGCAAAGTGCTTTGCTACAGCTCCCTCGATTGCTGGGGAGTGCTGCAGAGGAGGAGGAGGAGGAGGAGCAGGAAGGGGAGGATGGGAAGGATGGTCCCACGGAGACCCTGGAGGAGCTGGTCCTGGGACTAGCCGCTGAGGTGTGTGATGATTTTCTTTTCTACTGTGGAGACACACATGGCAGCTTCGTGGTCAGAACTCTGCTTCAGGTGTTAGGAGGGACTATTCTGGAGTCTGAGAGAGCCAGGCCCCGTGGTTCCCAATCATCTGGTAAGTATTACAAGAGGAAAGTGGACCTAGGGGGAAGAAGAATTTAGAAAGTTCAGAAGGAGACAGTAAACAGAAGACTAAGTCTTCATGGGGGAGCTTGACCTGGAAGTATTAGCTTGACCTGTCCTAATCTGAACAGGGCTTAGCAAGCCAAAGATTAGTGTGTGCAGAGGCCCAGAGGTAGGGATGTACAGTTGTGTTTTGGGGACGGCTATTAGAATGGACACAGGAGGAGAAATTTTTCTTTTTAAGCATGACTTAACATTTAAATGGACTCAAGCAAAAGTAACATACATACTGGACTCAAGCAAAAGTTCAGGAAAGAATACCCTTACTACATGCAGCCCACTCTGTTGTTATTGTATTTTTTTTCTTTTTCAAAACTTTATTTTGCTCTATTTCATTAAAAAAAAAAAAAATGCTAGTTGAGACCGGTAACTTGATTTCATGATACAGTCTTGAGCTGTGATCCACATTTTGAAAAACTCTGGGAAATAAAGTTAGCGAGTTTAAATGAGGTTTAATTTTGGAATGCCTTGACTACCTGACTGAGGAGGTTGAACTGTCTTCTGTGGACCATGGGGAAGCTGGTTGAAGTTTCTTAGAAAAATTAAGACAGAAATGTAGTCTCAGTTCTGTCATCCAGAAGAGACATTCAGTTGTACTACATCTGTTCTGCATCTCCAAGTGGAATCCTTGTCCATCTATGGAATTTTTCTCTCCTGGGTGACAGTTTGTGATCTCCCCACTGCACATGTTCTTAATCTTCCTTCAGAAGCACAGAAGGCCCCAGCTCGGGAATGTAAGCCAGCTGATTTTGAAGTCCCTGAAACCTTTTTAAATCGCCTTCAGGACCTGACCTCCTCCTTTCTGAAGGACATTGCAGGTAAGGAGGGAAGTAGGAGGAGGGTCTCCTATCTACTTTTCTGGAGGTGATTTTACCACCAAGCAAGGCCCTCTGGTCAGGTTATTCCTCTTCTTTTCAAACCTGGTCTGGTTTGATGTTCAAAGCACTTCATATAGTCCCTTTGTGTCCATAGTGCCCTGTATCTTGTTGCCTAAAGTTTGAGGTTATGCAGGTTGTCTGGATTTTGAGAAAGCTGCTTTATTTCTGCCCTCTCTTCACAGTGTTTATCACTGATAAGATCTCCAGCTTCTGTCTTCAAGTGGCTTTACAGGTTTTACACCACAAACTTCCCGAGTTTTGCGCTTATCTCTGCAATGCTGTGATTGGCTACCTGAGTACTCGCAGTTCCTCAGTAGATGGCAGGTATGGTCAGGGCCTCAGGATCATTCAAAGCTGGTGGGGCTGTGTGAAATGAATGAGGTGATGTAGTGCAACTGTATTTTGCATGAAATAGAGTTAAGACTGCCTGATGCCCTTCTTGTCCCCAGTCCCCTACTGCTATTTCTCCGAGATCAGACGAGCTCCAGACTCCTGGAGCAGGTCCTGCTGGTGTTGGAGCCCCCAAGGCTCCAGAGCCTCTTTGAGGAGCACTTGCAGGGGCAGCTGCAGACCCTGGCTGCACATCCCATTGCCAACTTCCCTTTGCAGCGCTTACTGGATGCAGTCACTACCCCTGAGCTGGTGAGTTGGAAACCTGAGCTGGTTCTGTTTCTAATTCTTGATCATTGGACCTTATTTTATGGTCTGTCTGCCTCTATATATCTTTGACATTGTGCTGGCCATTGCCCTTGAAAAGCTATTCCTTGAGGTTTTCCAGAGCTTAGGATAAATTTGCCCATCTTCCAGTGAGGATTTGTTTTGACTTCTCTCAGGTATGAGGACCAGCAAGAGACAGGCTTCATTCAGGTTTACAGCTTGAGGTTCCATGGCCCACCCAGACTCTGGTACTTGGCTCTAAGCCCACATGAGTGCTAGAGCTGTTGCCATAGCTGCTCTTTTCCGTTGCTGCTTAGGACTAAGGTGGGCTTCCCTGTGGTCTCATGCATTGGGTGTTAGAGTGGAAGGGCAGGTTTAATTTTAGTCCCCCTTTGCCTCTAGTTCTCCCTTACACATAGGGAAGAGCCACTTAAAGTTCCTTCCTGTGAGGTGGCACCTCTAAGACTGCCCCCTTGTCCTGGGCCTTATCTAGCCAAACAAAAGTCCTGATGCTGGCAATGCTTTTTATGTTTTATCTAGCATTTTTAGTTGTTTTCACTGGGAAGATTTCTCTGAATAATGTGGTCCACCATTACCAGAATGCCAAAGTTACATCCCATGTTTCCCATCAGCTGTCCCCTGTGTTTGAGGAGCTGAGCCCTGTCCTGGAAGCTGTATTGGCCCAGGGCCACCCAGGGGTAGTCATTGCCCTGGTGGGGGCCTGTCGCAGAGTTGGGGCCTGCCAAGCCAAGGTCCTACAGCTCTTGTTGGAGGTGAGTGGATATTACCCACAATCCGTTTATGCCCTCAGTCCAACTTCTACCTGTTAAGACTTATCTAATCTTAAGTTGTTGTACCTCTGGACTCAGGAAGTCTAGTGCCCAAGGAGTTCACAGGAATGGGGGAAAATGAGACCTGTAGGTGCCCGCCACCACTCCCAGCTAATTTTTTTTTTTTTTTTTTTTTTTGAGACAGAGTTTCGCTCTTGTTGCCCAGGCTGGAGTGCAATGGTGCAATCTCAACTCACTGCACCCGGCTGAGGCCAAATGCTATTTCACAGTCCTGGAACAAAAATTGTCTCCCAGAACTAAGAGAGAAGTTTATTTAAGGGATAAACGTTTATTAATCCCTGTATGTGATAGAGACTGGGGATACAGCAAGGCATGATATCCTGCTCTCATGGAGCTCACATTCTTGTGGAGTTGGGGCTTCTTTCCTTTCTTGAAGGTGTTCCCTTAAAGTTGAGGTTAGGGATGGAGAAGTTCTCAGGTTCATCATACTTTGTCTTCTCCTTTAGGCATTCCACTGTGCAGAGCCCTCATCCCGGCAAGTGGCCTGTGTGCCTCTCTTTGCCACTTTGATGGCGTATGAGGTGTACTATGGACTGATGGAGGAGGAGGGGGCAGTGCCTGCAGAGCACCAGGTGAGGTAGGGGAGAGGCCAAGCCAGTGACTGATTGGGAGCCAGGCCTCCTAGGGTTTAGCAAGCCTCTGACTTCTGAGGTGAGAGTGGTGACTTCATCCAGGTGGAGGTGGCAGTGTTCTGGGGATGGGCTCATCCACCTGGCTTGTTGGTGCCTCCTAATTTCCTATCTCTGCGCTCCCAGGTGGAAATGGCTGCAGCCAGGGCCTTGGGGGACGTAACAGTCCTTGGGTCTCTACTGCTCCAGCATCTGCTGCACTTCTCCACTCCTGGTCTTGTACTTCGAAGTCTGGGTGCCTTGACGGGACCACAACTTCTGGTCCTGGCCCAAAGTCCTGCTGGCTCTCATGTGCTCGATGCCATCCTGACCAGCCCTTCTGTGACGCGCAAGCAGCGCCGCCGTGTGCTGCAGAACCTAAAGGTTAGATTTCTGGCTTCTGCCTTGATTCCCCACCATCATCCATTTAGAGAATATGAGCTTTCTCAGGACTGTACCTTCAGACTCCAAAAGGCTATGTAATTACTAGACTATTTTAATTCAGCCCCTAAACTCTTCAGAAAATTCACTCCCCGCAAGCCCCCAAAATACACTTTTGTGGACTTTGCTAGGGAGACCTACTTTGCTTGTCTCAATACAGGGACAATATGTGGCTCTGGCCTGTAGTCGCCATGGCAGCCGTGTGCTAGATGCTATCTGGAGTGGAGCAGCCTTGGGGGCTCGGAAGGAAATTGCTGCTGAGCTGGGTGAGTACCAGCCCCTCTCTTTGATGTTTCCAGACTTCCCTTCTCTTACTCCAGATCACTGGGTGGCTGGGAAGTCTACTGAAATTCAACAGTCTTTAGTTCCAAAGGGTGGTCTTGCTCATGGGTTCTTAGCAGTCTGCTTTCCCCTTCCCTCCCGCTGACTAATTGTGCAGTCCTTTGCCCTCACCCCTCCCTCTGACTTCTGTTCTTTGGAAAGTGAAGTGTTCACTGTACCCCAGTGGCAGTCCCAGGGTCTGGGGGAAATGGAGGGACCTTTACCTCAGGTAGAGTCTGTCTTTGAGCATGGTGGTACTAAACATGAGTGGTTCCCTTTGCAGGGGAGCAGAACCAGCAGCTGATAAGAGACCCTTTCGGCCACCATGTGGCTCGAAATGTGGCCTTGACTACCTTCTTAAAGCGACGAGAGGCTTGGGAACAGCAGCAGGGTGCGGTGGCCAAGCGGAGGCGGGCATTGAACTCCATACTTGAAGACTGAGGCTTTGGATCTGGGACTGCGTGTTGATGGGGGAGGGCAAAAGGGGGTATCCACCCCATCTCTTTCCTGGTTTAAATTGGAGTCAAAAGTCGTAGTGGTAAATATTTTATATTTTTATTGGAAATGTTTTTGTTACTTTGTGGTGAAGGATATGAAGACATCTCAGGGTAAAGTCAGAGGGCTGTCATCAGTGTGCTGGGGAGTTTAGGGACAGGAGGCATTGGTAGGGGTTAGATGTAGCAGCAATCAGGCTGGGATCAAGATGCCTGGGGGGCAGGCTTGTGGCCTTTCAGGGCAAGTGGGAGGCCAGAAAGGTGGCTAGGAAGGGACAGCATTTTTCAGGTAAGGGTATAGAACTTGGGATGTGAGGCATTATGCTGAAAGGTTCTCTGACAAGCGGATCAGAGGACAATGGGGAAATTGGGTGAGTTATCTAGCCTGTACTAGCTGCAGGTCCTGAAATTTGATGCTGTCATAGTCTTTGCAGTGTGTCTCTTGGAATGATTCTGGGGGCAGAAGCTCAGAGCCCCTTCTTAGTAGGAATGGAGGCGGCCCTTTTGCTGCCACTGCTCAGCCCCCTCCACTACATGACGAAGGGTGGAGGAAATTCCCAGCAACATATGGCCCAGGCCTTGCAGCAGTGTGGAGGTCCAACGAAGGAGCTCCCTGAAGGGCAGAGACAAGAGGAAATCAGACAATTTGGGAAACCTGGGAGGAAGCCATCAAGCCGGGAGATGAGGATTTTCCACAAGCAACAGCTAACTAGGGGTAGGTGGGTGCAGGAGGAGGAATTATGGGGACTATCCAACTGTAGGGGATGGGGAAGTATGACATGTTGATTTCTGACCTGAGTACTTTCTTTGGGCCGAGTCCTTGAAAGTCACAACTCATAGAGTAGAGCCCGTAGAATGTGGCTTTGACATTCAGGCTGCCAAAGAGGTCTCGAGGGTTTTGCTTGTACACGTCAAAGGTGATGCGGGCGATGTCCTTGCTGTGCTTGGGCCTCTCCCGTCCCAGGCCATATGACAGCACTCCACTCTGTAGGACACCCTTGTCAGTGCAGTATATCCTCACACCAGACACCCACCACTAATCTCCATCGGCACCGTGTCAGACTCTCCCTCGCTTAGGCTTTCTGTTCACTGTGTGACATCCTTAACAATTCTACAACTCCCCCTGCACCTGGTCCCCAGGATCAGGGTTAAGCTAGAGAGGAAGCCCGGGAAAGCTCTAAAGGACGGGCAGTGGAAGCAGCCCCAGTATAGGCCTCTTACCCTTGCGGGGCTCCAGCTCTGACCAGACTCCAACACCATCAGGCACGTGTCATCCTCCAGCAGCTGGAAGAAGTCCTCACTGTCCACTGCAGTTCCATCCTCCTCTAGCACCAGGGTTAGCACTCCATTCAGCAGTAGGGTCTCCAATGCCTGCCCAATGGCAAGAAGCAAGAAGGAAGGTATCCCATGCCCCTTCCCTCTTTAGCTGCCCAATATCCATCAGTTGGCTCTAGACATTGGTCGATGTCCCACCGTGACTTTCCGGCACTTTGATACCTCCTAAAGGCTGCAGCTCTCCGTGTTCTTCAGGTTTTGGGGGATCCTAGCTAGAGGCTGAGCTTTTTCCTCCTTGCTCCTACCATGTCATTGGCATCTCCCCTTGCTCCCCTCCAAGTCACTCCTGGTTTGGAATTGGAAAGCAAGCCAGGTTCTCATGAAGTCCACCCTTCTGTCTTATCTACAATGCTGCACCTCACTTCCCACACCCTCAGAGTTCTCCAGAAGTGTTTTCAGTAATAGTGTTTAACCTTTTTGAGTCCTTACTCTGTGCCGGGTATGAGGACTTTACCTACATTATCCTCTTACTCCTTTCAACAACCCTAGGAGATGATGTGTTATTATTACCTTTTTATAGATGAAGAAACTGAGGTTTTGATAGGTTGAACAACTTCCCAAGGTTTGACAGCCAGGAAGTGACAGAATCAGAATTTGAACTTGATTTGTCATACAAATTGCCTTCCATACTGGCCTCTGAATTCCATCCCTCCAACTCTCCCTATCTCCTGCTAACCCCTGCTCCCATAGAAAAGCTCACTAGGTGGAAAATGAACAAACTGACCGGAGCTCATGAGGCCCACCCCACTGAGCTCTCAGTGGGAGGAGGCAGCTGTGTGACTTCAGCCCTCTCTGCTCCATCATCACAAGTTGCCACTGTTGTGGAGCCCCTTGGCTACCCCTGCTAAAGGAACCAAGGAACTTGGCCTACTTACTTTGGCTAGCAGCTCCTGGCGGGTGGCAGCTGTCAGGCCTTTCCGGATGGTCCGCTTGTGATTACAGACACGGAAAGGTCGCTGGGGTGGTGAAGCTGAGGTCCAGACCCTCCGTCCAAACTCCGAGCTTTTATTAGATACTGACCTGGTAGTTGAGAAGAAAAGTCAAGAAGGGGCAAGGAGGGGCTTAGTGAGTGTAAAGGGCGTGATGGGGGTAGAGTGGCTAGAGGGCTAGGGAGGGAGAGATCTAGGTTAATAGATGGTAGGGATGAGGGAGAGACCATGGAGTACAGGTGGGGGCGGGTGGGTCAAGAGCTTGACAAGCCCACTATGAAGTGGGGAGCAGAAGAGGAAGGGGTACTGGTTAGTGTCCTAGGGGCTGAGTGGAGTATTGTTGCCCTGCTTATATCCCCTAAAGGTAGAGGGTAGAGTGGAGGGTTAGCAGTCACCTGAGTAGGTCACTGGGGTTCAGAGCTGAGAGGTACTCCATGGTGGATGGGAGAGTTCCTTCCCTGGAACTTCTGGGCTGGGTAGTTCTCTCCTGTGCTGGGGCTTTAGTGGTGTTTTCTGTTACAAACCTGGGATCTCAGCCCAGGGCAACGTGGGAATGAGTCAAGCCTGGACTCTGGCCCCCCTGCCTGACCAGTAAGAAGGGCAAAGTCCAAGGGGAGGGATGAGGGAGGGGCCAGATGGGGTCCTGGAGGAAGAATTGCCTGGCAAAAGCCATTGGAGCTTGTATGTGTGCCTTTGGTGATGACATGTGTTGTGAGGGTAGATGGGAACCATGTAAAAGGATGAAACGTGACCTCTGGTGTTTTTTTATTTCTATGAGAGAATTTCTGGGGATGGTTTCTGGCTCTCAGACTCTGAGAAGCTGCATTTTATGTGAGTGGCTCTGTGTGTGCTGCCACCTACTGGAGTAGCCATAAGCTGCAGCTTTAGGAAAAGGGATCCCGGGGTGGAGTGTGGGGAAGCTGGATGGCAGCATGGCAGGGCTTTGGAAAATGAGAGGTGAGACTGTGTCCAGGAAGGGTGTAAGGAGAGGATGGATCCTGATCCATGGATTCAGGATCATTAGGGTCCTGTCTGGGACCCCGGTTTTCCTGCTTACCTGCTCCTTCCTCCTTGGTCAAAGGAGGGGCTGGTTCATTGCTCTGACTTTGGTTTCCAGAACTGCCTGTGGAGTTCGGTCACACTTAGGTCATCTTCTCTTTCACCTTTCTGCTTTTGCCAACTAATGGACGTGAAGGAGATGTGAATGGGGCAGGAATGTCCTTTGATGGCATCAAGAATTTAGCTTCTGGTGCACTGTGTCCCAGCTCTGATTTCAGTTGCAGCCATGATGGACAGTTGCATGGAAGCTGAGACTCTCACTGACAGTGAAACCCTCAAATGAACACAATCCCTGCTTTCCTGCCCAGGATCCTTATAGGGTCCCCCAGCTTCCCCACTTTTTTTCTGTGTCCTGACAAAGAAACACAGAGTAACTTGATTACCCTGTGACCTGGCCAGCTGCATTTCCCCTGGAGGCTTGAGCCCAAGCCAGAGCCTTGAAAAGGTATTCAGGTTGTTGCTCAAAACACAAAAAAACTGGCCCTGGCCCTGAACCAAATACCTTGAACCCTCATAAACTCCATACCCTGACCCCTTTGTTTTGGACATATCGAGATAGAACAACTCTTTCTCTCACTGTCTGTTGTAAGGATATGCTGTAGCCCACTCATTAAGTACATTTTCCTAATAAATGCTTTGGACTGATCACCCTGCCAGTCTTTTGTCTTGGGCAATCTGTACTTTACTCAGAGATTCCAAGGCCTACTGAAGGGACTTAACACTCTTAATGGCTTTCCCCTCTCGTTTTACCCTATGCCCTCACTTCCTGAGTTAACCTCCCAAATACAGGATTACCGGTACCCAAGCCCTTAGCTCAGGCTCTGCTTTGGGAGGCCCCAACCTAAGACAGTGCTCCTGGTGCCCTGCGCAAGGAACCTCAAGTTCTGGCTGTTACTTGGGCTGAGGCCTTTCTTTTCCCTTCCCCCAGTTCTATCCATCTGCCAGGCCCCCGTCAAATCTCTTCATTTCCAAGTTTTGCTTGACTTTTCCAAGAAGAGAGGGCTGCTGCTTAGTATGTCCCTACTACTGCATCCTTTCCTTTCTTGTCTTGTATCCTTGTACAGCCTGGAAATGGGATCTCTTCATGGTTGTGTGTCATGACTCCCTAACCATTATGCCTCCATGCATCTCCTGTTCCTCCTGGAACCTGGCAGCATGCCTTACACGGAAAGACTGTCACTGACAGCCCGGTGAGAGCCCTGAGGGTGGAGTGACTGGGGCAGGGCCCGAGGCAAGAGATGGGAGGAGGTAGGCCAGAAGCTGAAGAAAAGGGGCTCAGCCGGACCAGGAGACTGGAAAACAGGCAAAGATACAGCAGATGGGGGACTGAGTTGTTTGGGTCACCTTCTCTGCAGACCAGAGAGGCCAAGCAATATACATGCTGCAGAAGGTGGGCTGGGAGGATTGGGGCCAGAGCTGGGGGAGGGATGAGAACAGAAGCAGGACCAGGGTTAGGATTCAGCAGAGTCCTCCTATTTCCTTCCACGGCCAGGGAATCTTACTGCCCCACTTCATCTTATGCTGTTTCCTGGCAAGGCAGGCTCTCACATGCCTGGACACTTGGATATGTTGGTGATGGGAAGGAGTAGAGTGAGGGAGGGGCCTCAGGAGAGGCCCAGGATGAGCCTCATCTTGTCCCTCCCCATTCTTGCCTTACCCGCTGCAAATGTGATAGGCACAGGACAGGAGTAGGCACCTCGCCCACTGCTGCTTAACCTTTCAGCTTCTCCAGGCCCCCAGTCGTGCTTGCTCCCACCTTGGTAAGTAGATCTGCGCACATCCCTTTATACCCCACCATCCACTTTTGCCCAGATGTGCTAGAATGGGGCTGGACAAAGAAGGAGGGGCCAGACTAGAGGAGTGGTGGTAGAGATAGTGACAGCCTGGGGTGAGGACTTTATGCCTGTTTACCACTGAGCTCTGGGAAGGAGCCAGGAGTGGGGCAGGTCAGCTGAGTGGGAGCAGGGGATCTGGGTTCCAAGAAGGAGTAGTGTTTGAGGTGGGGTCTGGGTCCTCGTGGAAGTCAGGACTCCCAGGCAGAAAAGAGGCAGGGTGCAGGCAAGTAAGGAGGAGGCATGGCCCCTTCTCTTCGGACATCACAGGTGGGGTTTTGCCCCACCCCTGAACACCCTCTGTGGCGCCTTCCACCCACCTGTAGGCCCAGAAGGATGTCCGTCTGCTACCGTCCCCCAGGGAACGAGACACTGCTGAGCTGGAAGACTTCGCGGGCCACAGGCACGGTCTTCCTGCTCCTGGCGGCGCTGCTGGGGCTGCCCGGCAACGGCTTCGTGGTGTGGAGCTTGGCGGGCTGGCGGCCTGCACGGGGGCGACCGCTGGCAGCCACCCTTGTGCTGCATCTGGCGCTGGCCGACGGCGCGGTGCTGCTGCTCACGCCGCTCTTTGTGGCCTTCCTGACTGGGCAAGCCTGGCCACTGGGCCAGGCGGGCTGCAAGGCGGTGTACTACGTGTGCGCGCTCAGCATGTACGCCAGCGTGTTGCTCACCGGCCTGCTCAGCCTGCAGCGCTGCCTCGCGGTTACCCGCCCCTTCCTGGCGCCCAGGCTGCGCAGCCCGGCCCTGGCCCGCCGCCTGCTGCTGGCCGTCTGGCTGGCCGCCCTCTTGCTCGCCGTTCCGGCCGCCATCTACCGCCACCTGTGGAGGGACCGCGTATGCCAGCTGTGCCACCCGTCGCCGGCCCACGCCGCCGCCCACCTGACCCTGGAGACTCTGACCGCCTTCGTGCTTCCTTTCGGGCTGATGCTTGGCTGCTACAGCGTGACGCTGGCGCGGCTGCGGGGCGCCCGCTGGGGCTCAGGGCGGCATGGAGCACGGGTGGGCCGGCTGGTGAGCGCCATCGTGCTTGCCTTCGGCTTGCTCTGGGCTCCCTACCACGCGGTCAACCTTCTGCAGGCAGTCGCCGCGCTGGCTCCACCTGAAGGGACCTTGGCGAAGCTGGGCGGGTCTGGCCAGGCGGCGCGAGCAGGAACTACGGCTTTGGCCTTCTTCAGTTCTAGCGTCAACCCCGTGCTGTACGTCTTCACCGCTGGAGATCTGCTGCCCCGGGCAGGTCCCCGTTTCCTCACGCGGCTCTTCGAAGGCTCCGGGGAGGCCCGAGGGGGCGGCCGCTCTAGGGAGGGGACCATGGAGCTCCGAACTACCCCTCAGCTGAAAGTGGTGGGGCAGGGCCGCGGCAATGGAGACCCGGGGGGTGGGATGGAGAAGGACGGTCCGGAATGGGACCTTTGACACCAAACCCTACAACCTGCTGCCCTTCCCTCTCCCTTTCCATCCTCTCACCCTCTGGAGCTCAGTGTTCTGGAACATTTGGGGACCCTTCTTTGACTAGAGTTTGGATCTGACTGGGTAGGATTACTATACACCTCAGGCAGGCCCAGGCTCCTCCATACTGAGGGATTATGAGGGTGGTGATGGTCCCTGTTAAGGACTATTGCGTGCTTGCAAGTTGGCATGTACCCATGTGCCAGCACTGCTTACTTGTTGCCAATAGCTGTTATTGTGAAATACACTGGGAAGCCATTAGATGATGACTTAAGTGTGCCTCCCCTGGTGGTTCTTCATGCCTGAGTTGTACTGAAGCCACCTAGTTCCCATCTGGGTCAAGCCAGGGCTGGGCAGTGCTGGCCTTCAGTGGCATCTTGACCTGCCCTCCTCAGTCCAGGTGCCCTGGTTCCACAGGCCAATCCATAGAACCACTCTGGAAATAAAGGAGAAAATGGAAGGAGAAGTATGGGAGCTTGGATGAGGGGTAGGAATGGGATCCATTCTCTGAGGCTTATAAAAGCCTCTGGGGGAGGAAATGGCTCTGAAGGGGAAACTGAATCTGTGGGGTTTGAAAGGAAAGTTTTCCTGCCTGTCTTGTGTTTGGTCCAGTGGGTGTGAGAGAGGCACACAAGGAGTGGACAGTGGTGTAGGGGCCCTGGGAGTCTGAGACTTACCTTCCTCCCTGACCATCTGTTCCTCCCTGCAAAGGCCACCTGACGTGAAAAGGAGCCCAGGAGCAGGCACTCAGTCTGGGAAGTTTGGAGGTTGGTCATCAGGGGGTATGAGGAATGGCAGGAATATTTAGAGGACAGGAATAATTTTTCAGAAAAGTGCCACCTATTCTTTTTCTCTTTGCCAAGTCTGGGCTCCTTCCAAGATGCTGCTAGCTATTCCTGGCCCCTTCCCCAATACTTATCTGCCCCCACCTTTTGGAATCCATATCTAGGTCTAAAAACGGTTCTAGATTCTGACACCTTTGATTGGGGGATGTAGAATGGGATTCTTTTCAGGGGACATCCACAAGTACACACTCGTGGTCACTAAGGTGACCAGCTCATCCCAGTTGGCCCAGGACTTTCCCAGTTTTAGCACTGAAAATCCCTTGTCCCAGCCCTGTCGGTTTCCCAACAAACTGAAATGGTTGGCCACTCAAGTGGCTACCCTGACTATCACCCCAGGCTCTACTTTAGTGACTGCTCATACCTCCCTGCCTCCCAAACAGAAGTCGAAACAGAGCAAAAGAAACCCAGTCCCCAGGGTCATGCTGGGGCTACCAAAACTGGGATTGACTAGCATCTGTGAACTAGAACAGCAGGGAGTATGCTTAGAGTGCCTGGTCCTGGGTTTGGGGAAGAAAGGCCATCAAGGTAGATGTGGGTGGGGAACAACTTGGGAGGGGTGGCAAGGACAACCCAGTTTCTCTCTGAGGGGACCTCTGGTTGACCCTGGAGCTTCTGTCCCCAAACACAGGCCTCATGGGATTCTTTCTGTCCTTGGGTGCTGGGCAGAGGTTCCCTAAATTCCCTTGTTGCATATTCCCCATCTCTGACACCCAGTGCGGTCAGAAAGCCCTTCCTTAACTCAGACTTCAGTTCTTGCTGCGGTTTCTGCCCATTGCTTTTCATCATATCCTCTGCCTGACAGCTACGAGGTCAACTCTGCTCTGGCTTTTCTCCAGGCAGAGCAAGTGGGGGCTCTGGAAAGGTTAAGGGATCTCAGTGACCACCATTACACTTTGCATCTTTCCTGAGAAGTGAGAGTTGAAAGGGAAGCAGGAAGGCCCATGGTCAGATTGAAGGAAGGAATTTTTAGTTTCTTCTTTTCTTTTTCTTTTTTTTTTTTTTTGAGATGGAGTCTCACTGTATCACTCAGGCTGGAGTGCAGTGGTACGATCTCGGCTCACTGCAGCCTCCACTACCTGGGTTCATGTGATTCTCCTGCCTCAGCCTCCCAAGTAGCTGAGACTACAGGCACATACCACTACACCCAGCTAACTTTTGTATTTTTAGTAGAGACGGGGTTTCACCATGTTGGCCAGGCTGGTCTCAAACTACTGACATCAAGCGATCTGCTCCCCTCAGCCTCCCAAAGTGCTGGGATTACCAGTATGAACCACCACAACCCACCAGGAATTTTTAGTTCTTAGCTTTTGCAGGAGACTTCAAGGAAAGGAGATGTTCCTCTGTGCAGGAAATGGGGAAGGTGACCATTTTTGCATTCCTGGTTTCCCGTCTTGGCAGGGTAGTCATGAGGCATCACTGTTCCTGCTCTCCCACTCCTGCTCCTCATGCTCAGCCTGCCTAGCTCGGCCTCAACTTTCTCTGTGTGTCTAAAGTGGAACTGGATAGAAGGCTGTGGGAAGATAGGAAAGAGATGGTGCCAATCCCCTTGCCCAGATCTTACATCCAGACTCAGCAAGGCAATCACATGGGCAAGCACAAGGCAGGGGTTTGGGGAAAGGGGAAGTAATTGGCATTCTGTGTGATACCAAGGAGACCATTTGGATTTTGGCTTCTACCAAAGAGAATGGAGAATTGGTTGACCTAAATGGAACCAATCCCTTTAAGTAAGGCGAGGAAAGGGGGTGCTGGAAGATGGCCACACAACCTAGATCATAGCTTGAACTGAAACCAAGAACAGAGTGCTGCCCCCTTCGGCAATTTACTGACATGCCCTCTTTAAATCATGTTATCTAACCCAAATCCAGACCCAGGACCTAGTCACAGCTCCAACCTACACTTCCTATTAATTAAAAAAAAAAAAAAAAAATCTACATTATTACTGCAAAACAAACAAACAAACAAAGATATCAGCACTGTAGCCTCTCAATCTGAGCCCATTTCCCTTCTCTAGCTACCATACCTCCTTCTCCTATATGATACCATTCACTACTTTATTTAATTCTCCAGTCTAGACCTGCATCTTGAGACCACACCCAGCCTACTCACTCCCCACACCCCTCTTTCCTCTCACTGCTCCTTCCTGGTCTCTTCTCATCTGGCTCCACCTCTGAGGAGTCCTCAGAGAAACCCTTCTGGGTTGCCCTGGAACACAGACTATCCCCTCTCCTAGTGAAGGGAGTGGGTAGGGGTTTCAGCCCCACCCTCAGGAAGATGCGTCTTCCCTGTCCTCTGCTCTATGGTACTTCCTCTCTGGCTGACTTAGCAAACAGCACCTAGACCGGGGGCCAGGCCCTTGGCAGTGGGACAGATCCAGGGATAGGCTACGGCACCTTGCCCTGACCCTGGGATTGGCGTCAGCTTCCAACCAGTTCCTGTCAAAGCTTGTAAGTAAGTATCCTGGGAACGGCAGTGGTTGTGGTGGTGGGACGGTGTGCAGCCATGAAAGAAGGTGCAAAGGAATCTCCAAAGAAAGCCTGACCAGTGTAAAAGTTGGGAGGCTTTGTCCTTGTCACTTGTCCACTAACTCTTCCCCTCCCTGTTATTCCTGGTTGACCCTGGGCATCTCTGGGGACAGTAGGCAGGTGATTGGGAAAGTTAATGGGATTGAGGGGATGAGGGCCTGGCAGGGGGCAAGAAAGCTGGCCTTTCAAGGGGTGCAGCATTGGTAGGAACTCTCAGGTTGGTTCTGGGCTTTAGGGTCTCCTAAGGGGAGGAGACTGAAAAGGTCTGGAAATGCTGCTGCTGCTGCTGCTGCTGCGGTCACTGTATATTTTGCAATTGGGTCTGTGGGCAGGAAGGGGCCCCATGACCCAGTTAGGAAACTAGTCTTTGTACTCAACCCGATCCCTTTAAGATGTCAGTCTGCAGCGATGGGGGCAGTATATTTCAGGGGGACCTCTGATGCTGCTGACCCTGGAGACAGACTAGAGTTCTCAGTCTAGGCGTGTCCATGGTGTCAGGAAACCCTTGGTCCTCTACTCTCATGCGTTTGTCCGCCCTCACTCTCCAGGTCCTCCCGACGGCCATGAACACTACATCTTCTGCAGCACCCCCCTCACTAGGTGTAGGGTTCATCTTTCTGTTGGCTATCATCCTGCTGTCAGTGGCGCTGGCTGTGGGGCTTCCCGGCAACAGCTTTGTGGTGTGGAGCATCTTGAAAAGGATGAAGAAGCGCTCTGTCACTGCCCTGTTGGTGCTGAACCTGGCCCTGGCCGACCTGGCCGTATTGCTCACTGCTCCCTTTTTCCTTCACTTTCTGGCCCAAGGCACCTGGAGTTTTGGATTGGCTGGTTGTCGCCTGTGCCACTATGTCTGTGGAGTCAGCATGTACGCCAGTGTCCTGCTTATCACAGCCATGAGTCTAGACCGCTCACTGGCAGTGGCCCGCCCCTTTGTGTCCCAGAAGCTACGCACCAAGGCAATGGCCCTGCAGGTGCTGGCAGGCATCTGGGTGGTGTCCTTTCTGCTGGCCACACCCGTCCTCGTGTACCGCACAGTAGTGGCCTCGAAAAAGAACAACATGAGCCTGTGCTCTCCGAAGTACCCCAGCAACGAGCACCAGGCCTTCCATCTAATCTTCGAGGCCGTCACGGGCTTCCTGCTGCCCTTTCTGGCTGTGGTGGCCAGCTACTCCGACATAGGGCGTCGGCTGCAGGCCCGGCGCTTCCGCCGCAGCCGCCGCACTGGTCGCCTGGTGGTGCTCATCATTCTGGCCTTCGCCGCCTTCTGGCTGCCCTACCACGTGGTGAACCTGGCCGAGGCTGCCCGTGCGCTGGCCGGCCAGGCCTCCGGGTCGGGGCTCGTGGGGCAGCGGCTGACACTGGCCCGCAGCGTACTCATCGCGCTCGCCTTCCTGAGCAGCAGCGTGAACCCCGTGCTGTACGCGTGCGCCGGCGGCGGCCTGCTACGCTCGGCGGGCGTGGGCTTTGTCGCCAAGCTGCTGGAGGGCACGGGCTCCGAGGCGTCCAGCACCCGCCGCGGGGGCAGCCTGGGCCAGACCGTGAGGGGCGGCCCCGCCGCTCAGGAGCCTGGTCCTTCCGAGAGCCTCACTGCTTCCAGCCCTCTCGAGTTAAATGAACTGAACTAGGCCTGGTGGAAGGAGGCCCACTTTCTCCTGGCAGAATGCCAGCCCTGAGCTAGTTCTGTACCTGGAGGAGAAGCAGGAGCGTGGAGGGCATGGGAGCGTGGGAGGCGGGAGTGGAGTGGAAGAAGAGGGAGAGGTGGAGCAAAGTGAGGGCGGAGTGAGAGAGTGCTCCATCCTGGCTCCCACAGGCAGCTTTAACCATTAAAACTGAAGTCTGAAATTGGGTCAACCTTGTGAGTGGGGTACGTGTGCTGTGGGCATCGGGGTGCTTGTGGGTGCCCTGGTGGGACCCCTCTCAGTAATCGAGAGTTACCTCCTTTAGTTCCCCATGATTTACAATTTTGGAAAGGACACAAGGACAAACATAGATTGCCCCCATCCCAGGTGATTCTGAGTACGTAGTCTGCAGATAATACTTAGCAAAATGCAGTCTGCGGACTCCTAAAGCAGCTTGTCTAGGAAGACCACCCATGTGGGCCTATCACTCCAAGCTCTGTGACTCAGGGGACCTTCTGAGAAAATAGCACTGCTATGAAACATCTTCCCTGAAGCCTGTGATAAGTCTCCTTGTTAGCATGACTCCAACTTCCTGCCAATAATCTTTATCCTCTCTGTAGGAGGTATTCTAGGGGATGCCTTCCTTCCTTCCATTTCACAAAGAGGTCAGACTTGAGGACTAAGTCATTAGATCTTATCCCTTAGAATACTGCATATCAGCATCTGCTAACCTCCACAACACACCCTGGCACAGGGTGGGGCTGAGGGCCGCAGGAAACAAAGATTCCCAAAAGTGAGAGGGATGAGTCATTATTTCCTAGAAATGACTGTTGTTTTAGAGAACCTTGGTCCAACTCTGTTCTGACAAGGTTTTAGGAAGATGGCAACAACAGTGGCAGCAGTGTACTTTTTGGATCTTTCTCATAAAAAAACAAAAGAGCAAGTAACAGAGTGAAACCAAATATTCACATGCAACATCCGCAACAAACCTAGTATGTCAAGGTATCTCCCATGGACCCCAAAGTATGAGCCAGTGAGAATGAGTCATCAATACCTCAAGACCCATATACCAGCATCTGTGCAGAAGGATACAGAAGGAAGCAAAGGGATGTTGGGTGGATCTAAGAAGAGGAGACCCCCAAGCTGTCTACAGATCCTAACTGGAAAGCATGGTGTACCAATTTGAGAACAGCAGCTGAAACTGGGAGGGACCTCACAGAGTATTTCTCAGACCTCTCACCCATTCTATATGGTGAACACATGATAGGTACTTATTTAGTGTTTGTTGAATGAATGAAGTTCAAATGACATTTCCCTGGAGACTCTTCCAGTATTTGTGAGTAGGGGGCAGGAAAGGGCAAATCTTTGTTTTGAGCCATGTGGCTAAATTCTTTACGCTTCCAAGGTGTACAAAATGCTGGAATCAAGTTGGCAGAGAGGCTGAGGGAGTTCTCTTCCTGAGCTTGTGAAAAAAATCACTCCATTTCAACATGCTCAGTCTCACATGCATGCATGTGTGCACACATATGCACACACACACATACACACACACACTCGCACTAAAATTGGCCTGGGAAGAATACTTCCCACTGAAGGGCAAGGAGAAGGTGATCCCCAGCTATATCAGCAGCTTCTGACATCAATGGGCTCCAGGCACACCAGAGTCTCTTTATTGAGGTTCTTAGAAGGGGAGTGCAATCTCAGCCTAGGGTAACTGAAGGAGGTCCACTTCGTGTCAAGTCTGTGTTCAGGAAGTAGGTGCAGAGCTGCCCTTTGCCTTTCACCTTGATGACCCCCCGGCTGTAGCAGGTGTAGCCCAGGGACTGTAGGGCCCAGGCTGTCTCCTCAGTCACCTACAATTGGAGGGGGGTGAGGGAATATGGAGGTGGCCCTATTCTTAGTTCCCCTCCCCCTATGCCTCCAATGTTGTTCACTCACTTGGATTTTGCCAAGGACTCCTGTACTCTCCATGCGGCTGGCTACGTTCACTGTGTTGCCCCAAATGTCATATTGTGGCTTCTGGGCCCCAATAACTCCAGCTACTACTGGTCCGTGGTTCAACCCTAATAAGGGATGTGGTAATGACAGACTTGGAGAAGGAAGAGGGGAAGAGGAAGCACAAGGAACTAGAAGGAAGGGAGAAGAGCCTGGGGGGCCCTAGAGGAGAGGAGGGGTCTCTAAGGCTGGAGGAATGTAGCTTAAGAAAAAGAGTGGGAGAGCCTCATACCTCCTGGCCCAGCAGCTTCACACCCCATCCCAGGGAGTGAGTTAGGAAAGGGGCTTCAGGATGAACTGGCAGCAGCTAACAAAGGACTTGGAGTGGGGCAAGCTCAGGAAGGTGAGGAGGTACCAGACTGTTGCAGCAGGGGAAGTCTCTCACCCACACGCAGGCGGAAGTTGTTGAATGAATGCTTGTTGATGACGTCCAGCTTAGACCCCAGGGCAACGGCAAATTCCACCATAGTGCCAAGGTGGCTGCAGCTCCGTTCAGCATCCTGGCAATGGGCCCACGCACCAGGGTGGGCCAGTGAGGGCACAGGAATAAGTCCCACTAATGAGCCCATCAATGAGAGACCAGAGGAGGGTGGTAAGTAAGGAAGGGTTGCTGTACCTGTTGTGCATCCTGTCCAGAGGTGGCATTTAATCCTGTGGCTGCCATGTAGGTGCTGCCAATGGTCTTGATCTTCTCCACCCCACTGAACTTGGGCTTGGAGAGCAGCTGTATGTAGAGAAGAGTCCTGTCCCCAGTCTCTCTTACTCTCTCCATCCCCTCTCCCAGAAGCCCAGCCCCAAGCCTTTGGAGTTAAAGGATCAGGCTGTGGGAGTGGGGATGGTGTCAGGAAGGAGAGGGTTGGTGGTGGGCAGTGTTGCTGGAGTGGGTAGATCTGGGGGAATCAGAGGAGGCGACGGAGTACTGTAGAGGGGAGGATTGACTTCATGGCCAGAAAAGCAAAGTGGAAGGAGGTACTGGGGGAAATTCTAGAATCTAGGACATAGGGTCTGGGAGACTCTTGGAATTTTCACCTCATCAAAATCAGCAATTATTTCATTGAGCAGCCTCAGACACTCTAGGCCCTCATGATTGATGTTGGATTCAGAGTAGAACTCCTTGAAGTCTGGGACTGAAGCGAAGAGGACACAAACGCATTCGTAGGACTGGTGGTAGAGATCCTGGGAGAGCAGGAGACTGGAGTGAGGGGTGCATGTCATGTTCCTCTCCTTTCTAGGTCTGCGTGGGGCCCTCCTCCCCATGTCACATTCCTGGTCTCCCTGTTTAAGAAGAATTGGGAAGGAGGGAGAGGAGTAGGGCCAGGCTACCCCAGGGAAGTGACTTAGGAGTCAAAGCTTGGATCTCATTGTAATTCTAGAAAAGACAGAGGTTTGGGGTTAGGATCACCTCATAGCAACACGAAGGGAATCACTCCTAGAAGTGGGATCCTGTCAATGTGAATTATTTCTATATCCTATCCTACTGCTGAAAGGTGTTTAAGTCAATTAAGTCAGCTACAAAACCAAAGGTAAAACGTGTTTAAGTGTTTAAGTCAGTTAAGATAGGTACAAAATGAAAGATAAAGTAAACAACAATAGGGACTATGAGGCAAAGGGAAAATAAGAGTAAGATGATAAAGATGGAATCAGATCTGAGGGTGGTTCACAAAATGAGTGCCATGAAGTCCTATTTAGTCTTAGATTTTGGTTCTCAGCTTTCTAGCCGCCAAAGTGAAGAGAGAAAAGGATCAATTACAACATTCCCTGTGTCTATTAGAGAAGAAACCAGAACTGATCTTGAGAGCAGGGAGCAGGCGGTGGGGGCATAAGGCTGTGAAAGAGCTCCTGAGCTGTTTCTTTTAACACCCCTCAATATGAGTCCAGAGCATTTCCATAGCAGAGGGCCAGCAGGTGATACAAATACGATGGTACAAATATGTGGGTGACTTTCTGATGGTTTGGCTCTAGTAAGATTTTTGAGGATCTAGAGCAGCAGCATCCAATAGAAATTTTTGCAGTGGAAACATTCCCTATCTGCAGTGTCCAATAGGGTGGCCACTAGATACAAGTGGCTGTTGAGCCCTGGAAATGTGGCTGATGCAACTGAGGAACTGAATATTTTGTTTTAATTCATTAACATTAAATTTTCATACGCTAATGGCTACCATATTGGATCGTACATGTCTAGAGAGAGGGGTGGACTGTATCCTCTAGACCAGCAGTCCCCAACCTTTTTGGCCCCAAGGATGGGTTTCATGGAAGACAAGTTTTCCACGCACCCAGGCTGTGGGGGGGATGGTTTTGGGATGAAACTGTTCCACTTCAGATCATCAGGCATTAGTTATCAGATTGGTGCAAAATTAATTGCATTTTTTTTTTTTTTTGCCATTAAAAGTAATTACTTTTAGGTCGGGTGCAGCGCACCTATAATCTCAGCATTTTGGGAGGCCAAGGCAGGTGGATCACCTGAGATCAGAAGATCGAGACCAGCCTGGTCAACATGATGAAACCCTGTCTCTACTAAAAAAAAAAAAATGCAAAAATAATTAGCCAGGCATGGTGGCAGGCACCTGTAATCCCAGCTACCTGGGAGGCTGAGGCAGGAGAATCGCTTGAACCCAGGAGGCAGAGGTTTCAGTGAGCTGAGATCACACCATTACATGTACTCCAGCCTGAGGGACAAGAGTGAAACTCCGTCTCAAAAAAAAAAAAAGTAATTACTTTTAATTATATTACTTTTAATGGCAAAAACTGCGATTAATTTTGTATCAGCCTAATACATTTTCATAAGGAGTGTACAAACTAGACCCCTTGCATGTGCAGTTCACAATAAGGTTCGAGTTCCTATGAGAATCTGATGCCGCTGCTGATCTGACAGGAGGCGGAGCTCAGGCGGTAGTGCTGGCTCACCGCTCACCTCACCTCTGCTGTGTAGCCAGTTCCCAACAGGTCATGGACCTGGGGCCTGGGGGCTGGGGACCCCTCCTCCAGACAGCTCCCATCAACACCTAAGCTTCTGGAAGGTATGGAATGGTCATGAATTAGATAAGACATGCCTTCCAAGTAAGAATTTGAAATGCAATTTTGTGCTCACCAAAGACAGAATCTAAGAACTTGTGAAAACGAAGATGCTTGACAAGCACTAGAGAGAACCGGCCATAGGTCAAGACTTTCATCCGAAATTAGGCCCTATGGCATCCGTGGATCAGGAGTCAGGGGGTCAGGAGTCACCTCATTGCGCCGGTTCTGGCCAATGAACTGGGGGGCCACGTGTGCAGGGAGCACGTTCTCCAAGAGCAGCCGAGTCAGGTTCTCCATCGTCTCTGTCTCCTCCCGCTCCTGCCTCAGCTTCTTCTTCCACAGGAAGTCCAGGCGGCAGTAGTACTCATTCTGGGGAGGGTCACCAGGGGCCATGGGGAGACACAGAGCAGGGGAAGCGCAGCTTCTGCGTGTTCAGCCCCAACTCCATGATGCCTGAAACCACCCCCATCCCACCCCCAGTTTAGAAGTAGGGCTTAAGGTGCAAGTATCCTTGGAGAGAGACTATCCTTGAAATTAGATTCAGACTAGGGATACAGAATTGGCAGCAGACTTTTTCTAAAGCATGGGCTTTCCCAGATAGGGGTGTGGGAGAAAGGAGGGACGGGGAGTGGAGGAGAAAGAAAGGAAGCAGGAAGACTCGCTTAGAAGCTTCCAATGGGATTCAACCCTGGAGATTAGAAAGATCAAGTCACAAATATGGGGGCCACTCATAGGTGGGCCCTGGTGGGGCTGAGCTGGGTGACTTACCTGGCGAGCCAGGACAAGGAGGGTGAAGAAGAAGATGAAGAAGGAGATAGCACCCATGAATTTGGGCTCCTTCAGCACTCCGGGCCTGAAGGGGCCATGGATCAGGGTTGCCCCTTGCTCTGCCCCTTCCTGGCCTTCTCCCTGCCCCCAGTGCCCATGTAGGCCTCCGCTTCCCTCCCACTTTGCCCTGTAGGTGATTCAGGTCAGTGAGGCCAGGACAGCTCTGCTGTGTCCCATCTCACTCCCATCCCAGGGGGCCCGGCACCTCTGTCCAGCAGCTGTGCATACCTGGAGTCCAAGGGGCCCAGATAGAGGCGGACGATGAGGCAGTCGGACAGCCAGGCGTGGGAGTGCAGGAAGAGGGAGCAGGATGCTGCCAGCCACAGCAGGAGCAGCAGCAGCTTCAGCTCGAAGCTCATGTGCAGAAAGAGGGAGCAGGAGAGGAAGCCCAGCGTGCAGCAGTGCATGGAGTACTGTGGGGCCAGGCAGGGGTCAGGAGTGGGCATGTCCCACAGGCAGAGGGGGGACCCCTGAGGGCTCCCTTCCTGTCCCTCCCAGGCCCAGGTCCTATCTGGGAGACAGGGGGCGTCATACACACTGATACACACTGGGTGTGACTTATGTCTGTTCTAATCCACAGAATGGAGTGTTCCTCCACTCAGGGGAGCTGTGGACTTGGGCTGAGGAAGGAGATTAAGGGCATGTGGGAACACTCACTGGGACACTGATGAGAGGCAGAGACCCAGGGAGCTCCCAGGAGAGGTTGGAAATCATGGAGGACACATTGGGAGCTTGGAAAGGGCAGTCTGATGATGCTGGGAAGAAGAACTGCAGAGGAGATGAGGAGCTGAAGAGGCAGGTAGCTTCTTGGGCACAATGGTGGCTTGTGTTGGGTTTCAGCTGACCCAGGGATGAGTCAGGGCCAGACTCGTCCAAAGGGGTGGATTCTGCTATTTCTGATAGGGAAGGGAACCTCAGCACTGGGGTCCTCGCTGGGGGAGGAGTTGTGTGAGGGGTGTCAAGAGTACTTCTCTGACTCTGAGCCACTGTGTGAGCTCTTGCCAGCCACTTAGCCTCTCTGGGCCTTAGCTTCCTCTTCTGTAACTTGGCTGATGGGTGATTCCCAGGTGCCCTCCAGGAATAGAATTCTAGGAATGAGTCTAAATCCTGAAAAATCAGCCAAGTGATCTAAGTAATAAATAACTGCCTACACAGAAAAAAGATAAGAAGGACATTCACCAAAGTGTTATTAACAACTATTATGCCCAGATGGTAGATTGCTGGTGACTGTAATTTTTTTCTTTCTATTTATACAACATTTCCAGCATCTCCTGGGCTTAGTCCAGCTGCCTGCCCAAATCCAGGGGTTCCCTTTCAGTCCCTGGCAGGTCCAACATGCCCTGATGGGGGTGGATAGGGCCCCCTCTGTCCTCACCAGGCTGGTAATGGCCATGGCAAAGACAAGGAGGATGGTGGCGATGCCCAAGGCTATTCTCAGTCCTGGTCGTGTGGCCACCAGGCCAGACAGTGCAGGCAGCCAGTGCAGCATCTTGGGGCCTTTCAGGACACACCTCTGTGGAGGGAGCATGGGCGTCTTAGCCATGGGGCTGGGGTACCCTCTTCAGGACAGGTTGTGACCAGGGCTCTGGCATGCCACTTCCACCCCTCAGCCCACCTCACCATCAGGTCCTCTGAGAAGCAGACAAAAAGGAGGAGGAGGAAGAGGAGGAAGGTGATGCTATACGTGATGGCCAGAGCTGGGGGCCTAAAGGGAGACAAAATCGAGGCCTTGAAGTGCCAGAACAGGCTCCCTGTGTGCTGTGAAGGTGCTGGTGAGTTGGGTGGGAGATGGGGGAAGTGGTTCTGGGGAATCTGGGTTGGCTGGCAATGGGGTCCCGGCTGATAAAACACATTGCATTCTAATGATCTGGGTTGGCTGGCTTAAGGGTCTAGAGCAGTGTTGAGGTGGAACAGGGACCCGTATGGTGGGGAGTGGGGGCTCACAAGAATGACCAAGGCTACGGCAGACCGATCTCTGGGTCTTTAGGCTAAAGCTCTTTAACCTGGCTGAGTTTTTCTTTTTTCTTTTTTTTGAGACGGAGTCTCGCTCTGTTGCCCAGGCTGGAGTGCAGTGGTGTCATCTTGGCTCACTGCAAACTCTGCCTCCAGGGTTTGAGCGATTCTCCTACTGTCAGCCTCCCGCGTAGCTGGGATTACAGGCGTCTGCTATCTCACCCAGTGTATTTTTGTACTTTTAGTAGAGACGGGCTTTCACCGTGTTGGCCAGGCTGGTCTTGACTCCTGACCTCAGGTGATCC